ACAAAGACAGTTTAATAGAGAAGCAAAGAGAAGAAGCTTCAGGACAACTGGAAAAGGTAAGCTATAAAAATAACAAAAAATGTAATATATATATAAAACATAACAGAATATGAATACAAGTTTCAATGTCAAACAAAAGACAGTTTAATATGTGTACTAAATTTCACGGTTTGCTCTAATCCCTTCACTACCAAGCGAACCGACCACCAGCATTCAAGTATTTTTTTGTGTCATTTAAAGTAATATATAAATCGTTTTGTTTTTTTTTCATTTCTATACGCATAGAAAGTACACTTTATAATGAAACAAAGCAAACCATCTTTGTTGATTCTTAAATAAATTACAAAAACTTAAGACAAAAAGCTAAATATTTTAATTTAAAGACGTATTTTGTTTTGAAAACAAGGACAAAGATGATATTTTTGCAACATATTATTTATCTTTCATCTTAATTATTAATATTAATAGCATTTATATCCTTCTGAGATCGAGCCCATTAACTTGTGTTCTCTGCACTGGACATTTCATTCACATACATCTCTTTTTATTCTTTTGAGCTACTCTGTCAATCCTTACTGGATTGTAAAGAGGACGTCCTGGGCTTTCCAGGACACATGACGGAAATATTCCATCATTATTCCCTTTTATTCCAGAAGTTATGTCCTTAAGGGGTTAATAAAACTGTTAGCCCATGCATCGCCATGCAGTTCAGTACCACAGCTGGGTGTAGTACATTTATTTAGCATTCCACATCTTACTTTCACTTTCAATGTCAAACAAAGACAGTTTAATAGAGAAGCAAAAAGAGGAAGCTCCAGGACGACTGGAAAAGGTAAGCTATAAAAAAATAAAAAAAAATAAAAATGTAAATGTAATGTGACAGAGTGGGGTGCTGGGAACGTCCTAGGTAGGAAATCACCAAAAAAAAAGTGGAAGTCACTTTTTTCCTCGGTTCCCAGGAGAATATAGAGATGTGTTATGCACCACCTTGTTAATTGTATATAGTGGGATTATATAATAAGTAAGTCAAGTTATGAAAAATAATAAGATTACTGTATTAGAGTAAAGCACTCAAAAACAAATAAGTAATATTACGATCATCGCTAAGTTGAGGACATACATTTTGGCCAACCCTGCGCTAGTGGGGAGCCCATAAACATTTATTACACCAGGGCCCTCTCTACATGAATTCTGCCACTGGCAATAGCGATGTTCTTGGGGCTGGACGGCCCACCGGGAAATTTCCCAGTATACCGGTGGGCCAGTCTGGCCCTGATGGGGGGAGCACTCTGGTTTCCTGGTGCCCTGTGCTCCAGCCAGTCTCATCATCACTACGGTTCAAGCACTGTGCAGTCATGTGGCAATATTTCAGAGAGAGGAATGGCCCAAGACACACTCTGGGAGGATAGTTTGAAAATTTCTGTATGAGACACAGACTTTTTTTCAGACTGTTAGTTAGAAAGTCTATGACTACTTGTCCTAAGGTAGAGCATGTTCATTTCTTAAACTTTCTAAATCTGCTAATTTTCAGTTTCAAATATCTTTATTTTATTAACTTTTTGAATGACCTTAAAAACAGGGCTGACAGGAGTCCAGTGATCAAGTAACTATACAACTAATCAGAACATTACCAAACAGTGGGATGTTAATTATCAGGGCACACTCTGTGTCATTGTACCATGAGGTGAGAATGTCTCTCACGCTATAAAGTCACTCCCCTGCTTGAGATGATGTATAGATTATTGCTAGAAATTATGCTCTGCATATTTTCACTTCTTAGTATGTTGATGTGTGTTGTGATTTTTGTCAGTTCATCTGTCCCTAAAGAGCTGTGTCTCACTAGTGGTTTGATTCTATATTAGATAAACATATATTTTGTAATTGAATATTGTGTCTTCTGATACAATTCTAAAGAGAAACTGCTATTATGTTACCAGTTAAGTTTATCTATGGTAATTAGACTTGTGCAGACAAAAAAAATCTGCTCACCTAAATCAAAACCTATAACAGGGCGGGATGTTTTTATATAAAGCTATTACATTCTGTAAGACTTGAAATTGCTATTTAGTGGATGAGTGAGTGCGTTGGATCGTATATGTTGTATGAATTGGCCCCAGCAACACCCTTATAAGTATGCATGTTCAGGCGAGTACAGCCTCTTCATATATTTATTTGGAAATCTAGGTCAACTCCCCCGTTTCGCACCTAACCCTGTCATTGGTGTATAACTCCAGGGCCCTATTTAACCATGTACTGCAAAGAGCCCCAGGTGTTTTTTTTCCCCCTCAAGTAAGTGCATTAATCAAATAAGAGCAGACATTAGGTTGCTAGTGTAGGACCTGCCAAGAATGGGGTACATTGACATTGTGGAAGGCTTATGCAATGTATGACATTTTCTGTAAGTAAACCTCCATTATTTTGGCCTAGGTGAGGTGTTTTTAAATAAAACTATTCTGTGAGATTGCGGTTTAGTGAATGAGTGCGCTGGATCTTGTATTTTGTAAATTGATTTGGCCCTATAACGTATGCATGTTCAGGTGAGTGCATCCTCTAGGTTTCATGTATCATAAATATATATCTATAACATACATATATATGTCTTCTAATATTCTTAGTCTACCTCAACACATGATAAAAAACAAGGTAGAAGGTAGAAAATAGCATTAGCTCATTGAAAACGTGTCTATATATAACAAAGGCTAATAAGTCCACATACATGCCATACTGCAGCACATAAAAGATATTCGAGAATAGACAGGTTTTTGATTCATGTTGCCTCGCTGCCTAAAATAGAACATTCACAAATTGGTCTCATATCCTGGTCAGACCATGCCGCAGTCCCATTATCTTTAAAGGAGCAACTAACTCCCTTAGCTGTCTCCTCTACAATCTCCCTAAAAAATGGTCAGAGGCAGGCATATCTCATGCATCCCATCTCTATGATATCCAAGAAGTGCAATCCTTCCCAAACTTGCAAGAACAATGGAATATCTCAAGCAACACCATTTTCCTTTACTTACAATTGAAAAGCATAGATACGTCACATGTAGTACTTCAGACACCCACACAGAAACTCAATTATTTTTCTTAACAATTTGTCCTAGATAGATGTTTGATATTTCCAACTAAATCTAAGGCTCTTTCTCTGTGCTATAGAGCTCGGTTGAAGATGATAACTTAGTTTGTAAATCACATTGGGAAGTGGAATATGAAAGGGCACTATCTGACTCAGAGGGAAGAACCTATCTAAATGGGCAAAGGGTTATTCACATGTAGAGGCACACAGAAAACTACGATATAGATGGTACATGACTCCAGACAAGTTACAGAACATTTTTCCAAGCACCTCTTCAACGTGCTCGAGATGCACAAATGAAAGGGGGACTTTGTTGCATGTCTGGACGTGCTGTGGCATTTGCCCATTATGGAATGATGTCCAAACAATGTTACAATCCCTTGGCATACTAAACTTCCCAATGACAGTTTCTACTTGACTTCTCCTGTTCTTTCCTCTACATCTAAACCGTGAACATAGACAGCTTATAGACAGCTACTAGCGACTAATCCACCACCTGCCCCTCCATTTCCCAGCTCAGATATAAGATCCAACAATTCTATATTTCTGAACTCAAATTTTTACCAACACCTGAAAGAACTGGGAAGAGAAATATGACCAAGGGTGGAGAGGCCCTTAAACACCATTATACACTAAACACATGCACTCACCATTAAACCATTGACCACTACAACCATACCAACTGCACATAAAGTTAATATGGTCTCTAGTGATAACCCAGATGTAACTACATATCTGTGTGAAAAAAAACATAATGATTACAGATATATCCTAGAGCTAAAGCGGAACAGTTGCTCACATTGTAGATAGTTGGTATGAGTAGTTGGTAGACACCACACCTTAACCCCTCCACTACGAACGTGAACGCAGGCTCACACTAAGCACATGTGACAGATGTGACAGAGTCTGGAGACGCCGTGGAGAACCTTCTGCTGCCTGCAACATCCCCCAGTATGACCAGTTTGGCAGTAATGGTGTGGGCATTTCTTTGGCCAGAGGTAGCCTGACTGCCATTAGGTACCGAGATGAGATCCTCAGACTCCTTGTGAGGCCATATGCTGGTGCGGTTGGCCCTGGGTTCCTCCTAATGCAAAACAATGCTAGACCTCATCTAGCTGGAGTGTGTCAGCAGTTCCTGCAAGATGAAGGCATTGATGCTATGGACTGGCCCGCCCGTTCCCCAGACCTGAATCCAATTGAGCACATCTGGGATATAATGTCTCGCTCCATCCACCCACGTCACGTTGCACCACAGACTGTCCAGGAGTTGGCAGATGCTTTAGTCCAGGTCCGGGAGGAGATCCCTCAGGAGACCACCTGCCACCTCATCAGGAGCATGCACAGGCGTTGCAGGGAGGTCATACAGGCATAGGCGTGCGCACGGGGTGTGCCGGGTGTGCCTGGGCACACCCTAATCCCCGTGGCACGCCTATGGTTTGAGTCCTGCAGCAACAGCGTTCCTGCACTTTTTTTGAGCAGGAACGCTGTTCCTGCAGGCACTTAGTGCCCCCTGTTTCACCTCTTCCCCCTGTCATGGGGAGGGCAAGAGGTGATGGATTCCCCCCCCCCTCTCTCCAGCTCAGCGCGCGGCGAGGGAGCTGTCTGCTCTCTGCTCATATTCCGGCTCCCAGCTCCAGCAGACAGCCCGCGCGGCGAGAGGGAGCAGAGAGCAGACAGCAGACAGCTCCCTCGCCACGCGCTGAGCTGCAGAGAGGCGCCCGCCCCCACTGGACCCCAGGGAAAAGTCCACCAGCACTCCAGGTAGGACGCTGGGTGGACTTTTTTTTTTTAAATTAACATATAATAATTTGTGTGTGTGTCTGTGAGTGTGTGAGTGTGTGTGTGTGTGTGTCAGTGTGTGTGTGTCTGTGAGTGTGTGTCTGTGAGTGTGTGTGTGTCAGTGTGTGAGTATGTGTGTCTGTGAGTGTGTCTGTGTGTCTGTGAGTGTGTGTGTGTGTGTGTGTGTGTACATATATATATATATATATATATACACACACACACACACACACACACACACACACACACACACACACACACACGCAGAACTCTGCTCTAAGCCTTCATGGGCCGGCGGGGAGACCAAAGATCTACCTCACCGGCCCACAGCAGCATGGAGGGAGGCAGTAGAGGACCCAGGCAGCTCTAGACAGAAGCTCCGCCAGGTTCCTCTCGCGATATCTGAGCGTTGCTGCGGCAACGCTCAGATCTCGTGAGAGTTAACTCTAGCCCCGCAGGCTAGAGTTCACTCTCCACTAGACCACCAGGGATGGCACATGGCAGCAAGGATTTACTAATCTGCCAAATCCCTCCAAACATACAGCACACACACATACAGCACCTACACACATACAGCTCACACACACACAGTACACTAACCGCACCCTCACAAACACACACAGCACCTTTAAAAAAACCACAACACCCTCACACACAGCACACTAACAGCACCCTCACAAACAGCACCCTCACAGGACAAACATACACACACAAACATCCTCACACACAAACAGCACAGTCACAAACACGCACCCTCACACACACATCACAATAACAGCACACACAGCAGTGTGTGTGTGTGTGTGTATGTATGTATGTATGTATATATATATATATATATATATACACACACACACACGCGTGGCGTGTGTTTGTGCTTTAGGGTGCACACCGTAATGCAATAGGCTGCGCACGCCTATGCATACAGGCACGTGGAGGCCACACACACTACTGAGCCTCATTTTGACTTGTTTGACTTGGAAATTTGGGAAACCATGAAGAAATGGGACGACAAGTATATGTCTTGCATAGGTAGATTAGCGGTGGTGAAAATGATGGTGCTGCCTAAATTTCAGTACCTAATCAGGACACTACAGATTCACGTACCCAACTCGTATCTGAGACAACTACAGCAGGTCCTCACTAGCTTTGTATGGGCATACAAAAAAAATCAGAATAGCTACAAAGGTGTTAACTCAACCTATAGCACTGGAAGGGATGGGACTACCAGAGATGCAAATATATTATAGAGATCCCTCAGGAGACCATCTGCCACCTCATCAGGAGCATGCACAGGTGTTGCAGGGAGATCATACACTAAGCTATAAATTTTGCAAGTTTTAACTTGATCTTCTGCTAGTCTATTTACTAAGATACAATCGTTCCTACATTTTTTTCTTTGCGTGTTACTTGGTTAATATTTAATTAGCTCAACTATTCTTTTAGCTTTACTGGGACAGATATGTTCAGAGTGGGCAGGTGTTTAAATTGACTAATTATTAAAGGAACACTATAGTCACCTAAATTTTTTTTTTAGCTAAATAAAGCAGTTTTAGTGTATAGATAATTCCCCTGCAATTTCACTGCTCAATTCACTGTCATTTAGGAGTTAAATCACTTTGTTTCTGTTTATGCAGCCCTAGCCACACTTCCCCTGGCTATGACTGACAGAGCCTGCATGAGAAAAAAACTGGTTTCACTTTCAAACAGATGTAATTTACCTTAAATAATTGTATCTCAATCTCTAAATTGAACTTTAATCACATACAGGAGGCTCTTGCAGGGTCTAGCAAGCTATTAACATAGCAGGGGATAAGAAAATCTTAATTAAACAGAACTTGCAATAAAGAAAGCCTAAATAGGGCTCTCTTTGCAGGAAGTGTTTATGGAAGGCTGTGCAAGTCACGTGCAGGGAGGTGTGACGAGGGTTCATAAACAAAGGGATTTAACTCCTAAATGGCAGAGGATTGAGCAGTGAGGCTGCAGGGGCATGGTCTATACACCAAAACTGCTTCATTAAGCTAAAGTTGTTCAGGTGACTATAGTGTCCCTTTAACTGTCCATTTATTGTCCACTTCTCTCCACATCCAATTAACCCTTGAACATCCAGCTCTCGAACCTCAGTCGACAGGTCTGTATATTTTTTAAATGGGTAATCACATAATGAAAAAGCAGCTATAGGATACAATTTACACTGAATTTGCATTCAAACCATTTAATACTAGAAATATATTGGAATTCTTAATGTGACTTTGTTAAGAAAAAACAAGTAATTTATTATGTTAAAAATATTTTTGGCTTATTTCATATAGGTGAACATGAACCTGCTTGTCCTAATTAAACCCTCTTTTTACAGATGGCTTTAGCAACGCCAATGCAGGATCCAGTGTGTCTGATAGAAAATAATGATCAAAAGAAGTTAGTTATCAATGATGGAGCCGTACAGATTCTTATGAACATAACCCAGCCTGTAGTCGTCGTGGCAATTGTAGGACAATATCGAACTGGAAAATCTTATCTAATGAATAACTTGGCAGGACGCAAAAAAGGTGCGTGATAAAATATTAATACACAACTAGCATAAATACATTAATTACTCTTTACAACCTCATTATAAACAGTTTAGTGCATACTTTTAACATAAGGTAGAAGCGGAGATTTATCAACTACTGCTTAATGGCCAATGATAAACCAAATTAAATGCATGTTTGCAAATTATCCTTAACTTGCTTTTTGCAAGTAAATGATAATTCAGATAACTATTTTAGCAAATAGTTAGAAACTCTCAGTGGCACAGGGGTTAATTAGTCAGTCACCACATGGAAAAGTAAAAAAAAAAATATGTAGATTGATCAATGAGACTCTCATATTACTATAATGGAGGTAATATTACCATATGGCAAGTGGGGGCGTATCTACTAAATGTTTAAAAACTAGTGACTGGGCAGTGATTGATGCATAGTTGCTAGAAAAGGCCCCATCAGGTGGGGCTCCTTTAAATAGTAATGGGGGAGGCTCTAGCGTCCCTTCTACCAGTCGGCCATGGATGGGGACCTTAATAATAAATGGGTGTAACTATTGCCCTAATCTCCTAGCCACCCCATAAAATAAAGTCCCTATCCTCCCTCACCCTAATAAAAGTCGGATGGTGCCCAAAAATCTAAAACCTGTTAAAACATAAATTATACTTACCATTTAAAGTCTTCTTTCTTCTAATTCTTCTGTTGTTCAGCCCCCAAAAGTGGCAAATTAAAGTCCATGATTACAAACGTCACTAATTAAAATACAAAAAAAAAATAAGGTTTGAACGCCAAAAAAAACTGTAAAGAAAACAAAACAACATGCCACAATAAAAAAAATCCATCTTTTATAGTTTTTTTTCCCATTCTATGACAGCTATTGTAAAGCACAGGAAAATGTCCATGCTTTGCAATATGACCAAGAGCACTCTGATTGGTTGGCTAGTAAACCAACCAAACACAGCGCTCTGACAATCAAGTCAATGCAGGTTGGAACATGTGGAGGCAATACACTAATCAACTGCAGCATTAAAACTACTAACAGGAGAAGTGAATTACATTGATTATATTGTTACAATGGCACCTGCCAAGGGGTGGGAAATATTAGGCAGCAAGTGAACAGTCAACCCTTGAATGTTTTTGTGTTAAAAACGTAATGCTGGCCATGATAGAAGGATGTCAGAATACACAGAGCATTGCTTTGCATAGCTGCAGACCATTCAGAGCAGTGGCGGAATAAGGGGGGGTCCACCTGGTAGGGGGGTGCCTTGACCCTGGGCTTAGTGAGCTGTGCACCATGGCAGCTGGGGTGTCACACAGAGAGACCAGCAAGATGAACTGGCCGCACGGAGCGGAAGAAGGGGCGGAGCTACTGACATTTAGGGGTAGAGCCTATCCGCGAGCAGGGGCGGGGCTTAACATGGCCCTTACAAGCTGCTGTTACTGCTGCACATGGAGGTGCAGCAAGAAGAAATCCCTGCTCCTCCACCTATCAGGCTCCAGGGAAGGGCTTCAATAAATCCATTCCTCCAGCCCACACTGTAAGTAAGTATAAGAGTGTGTGTGCATGTGTGTGACTGCCTGAAACTGTGTGTGTGTGTGTGTGACTGTCTGCCTGAAACTGTGTGTGTGTGTGTTACTGTCTGCCTGAAACTGTGTGTGTGTGACTGTCTGCCTGTAAATATATGTGTGTGTAACTGTCTGCCTGTAACTGTGTGTATGTGTGTAACTTTCTACCTGTAACTGTGTGTGCATAATTGTCTACCTGTAACTGTGTGTGTGTGTGTGTGTGTGTGCGTGTGTGACTGCATGCCTGTAACTGTGTGTGTGACTGTGACTGTGTGTGACAGTCTGCCTGTGACTGTGTGATGCTGCCTGTAACTGTGTGTTACTGTCTGTCTGTGACTCTCTGCATGTAACTTTGTGCGTGACTGCCTGTAACTGACTGTGTGTCTAACTGCCTGTAACTGTGTGTGTTTGTGGCTGTAACTATGTCTATGACTGTCTGCCTGTGACCGTGTGTGTGACTGTCTGCCTGTAACAGTGTGCGTGACTGTGTGTAACTGCTTGTAACTGACTGTGTGTGTATGTAACTCTCTACCTGTAACTGTGTGTATGACTGCCTGTGACTATATGTGTGACTGTCTGCTTGTAACTGTGTGTGGCTGTCTGCCTGTAACTGTGTGTATTTGTGTAACTGTCTACCTGTAACTGTGTGTGTGTAATTGTCTACCTGTAACTGTGTGTGTGTGTGTGTGTGACTGCATGCCTGTAACTGTGTGTGTGTTACTGTCTGTGACTATGTGTGACAGTCTGCCTGTGACTGTGTGATGCTGCCTGTAACTGTGTGTTACTGTCTGCCTGTGACTCTCTGCTTGTAACTTTGTGCGTGACTGCCTGTAACTGACTTTGTGTCTAACTGCCTGTTACTGTGTGTGTTTGTGGCTGTAACTATGTCTATGACTGTCTGCCTGTGACCGTGTGTGTGACTGTATACCTGAATGTCTGCCTGTAACAGTGTGCATGGCTGTGTGTAACTGCTTGAAACTGACTGTGTGTGTGTGTAACTCTCTACCTGTAACAGTGTGTATGACTGCCTGTGACTATATGTGTAACTGTCTGCTTGTAACTGTGTGTTACTGTCTGCCTGTAACTGTGTGTATGTGTGTAGCTGTCTACCTGTAACTGTGTGTGCTTAATTGTCTACCTGTAACTGTGTGTGTGACTGCATGCCTGTAACTG